ACCCCCGCCGCCCGTCCCGTCCCGCGACCGCCGGGCCGCAGTCTGCATCGGGGCGCGCGCGGGGAAGGCAGGGCCGGCAGGGACATGTACTCGCTGTACCGCTCGTGGCTGTCGCGGCCGGACATGCACCACCCGGGGCCGCACGGGGTGCACGGCGTGCCCCACGGTCTGCCCCACGGCGTGCCGCTGCCCAGCGCGCTGCCGCTCGCCGACGTCGTCGTGGCCGTGGGTGACGGTACTCACCGCTACGCCGCGCACCGCGCCGTGCTAGCCGCCCACAGCGGGTACTTCAAGTCGGCCCTGGACCGAGACCCGGGCTCCGCTTACTTGGCAGTCAGCTCCGTCACCCCGGAGGCCTTGGTTCCCCTGCTCGGCTACATGTACACGGGCTACCTCGACATCGGCGGCGACAATATCTACGACGTGCTCCTGGCCGCCGGCTACCTGCACATGCCCCGAGCCGTCGAGTGGTGTCGGAACTTCCTCCTGGCGCACCAGCCCGCTGCCCTGGACAACGCTGGGACCACCGCCAGGTCCACCCTCGTGAAGCCCATCCCCGGGCTGCCGTGGCGTCCAGCCCTGGGCGCGCCGCCCGCACCGCCGCAGCCGCCCGCGACCCACATGATCCTGCCCACGGCGGAGCACAGCCCCTTCCGCGCGCCTTTCCTCGCACCCAGTCCCACGGCCGTGGTCACCCTCGGCAGCGCGCCCAAACGTGGACGCAGCCCCAGCCCATCCTCCAGCGCGGGGTCGCCGGCAAAGAGGCTCAGCGGGGAGGACAAGGAGCGATCCAAGCAGGTAAGAGTGGCCGCAACGGCGGCGTCGCGGCCTGGCACCCACCGTACTGACCCCACCGGTCTGTTGCAGGCCACCACGGTCAAGTGCGACCACAGGAGCCCGTCAACACTCTTAGCTGAGCGATCGCCCGAGCCCTCCAGCACCCTGACCTCGACGACATCGTCGTCTTCGTCGTCCTCAACGGCGCCGACGCCGTCCAAGACAACCGCCAGCACCTCCGCGCCGTCCTCTTCTAGTACGACAACGGCTACCACCACGGTCGTCACCGGCAAAGTGGTGGTGGACGTGGCCTGTTGCGACGGCCCCGTCCGCTTTCACCGGGTGCTCAACACCAGCTACGGCCACGAGGATGCCGACCAGGGTGCGACCGACAGTGGTGAAGCGTCCGACGAGAACCAGCTCCATCAGCGGATGCACGTCCCAGGTAAGTGCCGTTCCACCCTGCCCGGCTGATCTCCAGCTGCACGGCCTCTAACGCTCTGTGCCAAAACAGGCGCGGCGCAACTCCGGCGAGCACGTAGGATGGCGGAGCGTGGACCACACACGGATGTCAACACCACTGCCGACGGCGTTGCCGCCGCCACCACCACCAACGAGTACGTCTGCCACTACTGCAACCACACGTTCAAGAGCCACTACTGCTACCAGAAGCACGCTCGGCGCCACATCAACCCCCTCACGCCCGGCGCCAAGCTCACCGAGGTGCAGGCGCCACCCGCGGCCGCGCGCGCGCCGGCCAAGCCCCTCGACATGAACGTGCAGTACTACCCTTGTAAAACGTGCGGCGCCAAGTTCCCGAGCTACTACTTTGTGCACAAGCACCGCAAGCTCTGCCACTCGGGCGAGGAGGGCGACGCCGCAGCCGGGCGCGAGGCCCTCGACAAGGACTAGCAGCGAGCTCAACCTCAACGCCTACAAGCCTGTTCCAGTGCACGAGTATAGAGGATTCTTGAGACTTTTCTTCATCGAGTGCTATTGTGATTACTGTCTCGTCGCTTGACTTCTACGTTACTGATTTCAATGACTGTTCGTGGGGTGGAATGGCTGACGTTACCCCACGCAAAGATTACTTCACGGGTCAAGAGACTTGTCCCTGAGCATGGAGTATCGCCAGCCATCGCACCCCTTTTGGCATGCCGATACCCCACGCAAGAGAAGCAATGTAAATAAATCTTATGTGCCAATCTATGCAATGATAAGAATATCAGAAAAACATATCTGCTGTAAGTAGTGTTCAGGAAGTAGTTGTAAATAAATGAATTTTTAATGGAGAAATAAAAAAGTGCCTTATTTCTAAAAATTAATCCCTATTAGAAACGCAAGACATGGTAACAGTGATAACAGAATATTTCTATTCTGATAATATTTGGTACAAATTACTTGTAACGACAGATGATAAAAAAAACTATGAGCTCCTCATTGAATCTTTTGTAGATAGCGACATTGGACCAAAAAAGTCACGTTGTCAGAGGGACGGGACTTTGCCTTTTCATGAAACAAAATAAACACAGAAGATGAAGCAACTCACCTTGTTCACTGATATCTTCATCACTTGATTCAAGCTGCTCACTCTCTTTCTTTTTCTTATCTTCTTTTCTTCTCTCTTTCTTCTTATTTTCTACTTTAGACTCCCTGCAAAAATCACAAACAGTTTTATATCAATTTCAATTCCATAAAAAGAAAGGGCTAAGGGTTGTGGAGGGAAAAAAAATAGGAAGATTTCCCTTAAAATCTCATACAGTCCGGAATTGGCTACACAGAGAAGGGAAGTCATCACAGAGAGTGGTGGCAGATAGAGGGGACAGAGAGTAAACAGAAGAACCCTACTCCCCAAAACAAAGAAACATTCCATCTTGTAATAAAACATTTTTCCAACCATCCATTCAATCACTCAGATTGAGTTTCCCCAATCCCCCCCGCCATTCTCTCTGATCACTCCCTCTTACTGTTTGATTATGTATATAATATCATCACACAGCCTCTTACATGAAATATATATGGTGACAAGAATAGGTAGAAGAGAGGGAGACTTGGCTTACACCAAGGAGAGAAAAGCTGGCAATGTTCTTACCCTTTCTTTGCATCTTGAGCTGGTGTGTCGTTTTGTTGAGATGATGCTACTAAATTAGTAGTTGCACCTACACAGTTTGACACTGTACTACTATTGTTCACAACACTTGGTGAGGTTGAAGTGGGGGGCTTAGGGGAATCAGCTGCTGGTTCAGCTGGTTCCCGCTGGTTTCTTTGAGGTTCTTCTCTCTTCTGTTGGAGTTGCTCTCGTTGCAATCGAGTGGTAACACCAGTGCTACTTAAAATGTCTACAAGGCCTGCAGAGTTTGCCAAATTGTTAGGCTTTCCAGGATTATTTCTACTTGATCTAGTTCTTTGCCTAGATTTACCTGTAAGAGAAGGAATGACAATAGTTATTTAATTTGATAAAAGGTTTTTCATAGAAACTCAACAGAAAAACAATGAAACAATGTCAAGGAAAACACAAAATACTCACGTAATAGCTGCTTATAATTCTCCGATTTCTTGCTAAGGTAATAATATTGTACACAATCAGAAACAGTTTTTCTATCCAAATAAGATGCTATTAAACCAAAGTTTTTAGGATGTTGAAGATATTTTTCCCTAAATGTTTCTTTTTCACTAGCTGTCCAGACATTCAATAATTGTCTTTCTTTATATTCAGAACTATAATCATCAATAAGACCATTATTATTTTGAAACTGTAGGCGCTTTTGAGAAGGGGCAAGTAAAATTGGTGGAACCACTGCCATGGAGCGCATTTTCTTATCCTCCATCTAAGACAGAAAACAATCAATTTACAAAACCATGCAAAATTACAGGAGAGCTATTTGAACTGAATGTACCATAATAGTATGAATACAATAATTTTAAAAACACCTACCTCCTGCTCTTGGAGGCCATCCATGATTTCTTCCATGTCAGCCTCACTTTTAATGCGAGCACCAACACGGTTAAATCGTTCTTTGTCTTCTCTTGCCTTTCTCAATTCCGTAAATACTTTTTCAAAGAATTCACGGTTTTTAGCTTCTTTTGCCTTTCTCTTTTGAGATGACTCAGTACGTTCTACTTTTCTCACCCACTCTTGCATTAGTCTTGAATATGTGCTTGCAAGGTATTTATCACGTTCTTCATTCTCTGCATGCTTTTTCTTTAAATGTTCCATTAAAGTCTCTTTAAAAGTCAGGTACTGGCGCTTGTTTTCATGATACACAGCAGTATCAGATGGCTGGTTATATAAAGGCTGTAACAGTAAAATATACTGATAAAAATATCTGTAAGAAAATAAGTCTAAAATCCTAAGTGAATACGTTATCCGATTTACTTACATAGTCAATGTCAGGACCAAGTTTGCTTAAAGCATTGTGAGCCTCCATTGCCATCCTTCTATTTTCAGCATATATTTTTTGAGCAGGACTTTGATGTTTGGGTGTTGTTATCTCTTCATCCGGTTCTTTCTTGATGTGCCGCCGGTTACGTAACTTTGAGGCATTTCTAGTTAGCTCACCCTCCTTCCTTTTTAAGGCATTTAACTCCCTTTCTCCTTTGTTAATTTCCTGATCCATTTTATGGATAGCATTTAGGAGATCGTCCTTGGCTATTCGAAATGCCTCGTCCGTCTGAGCCTCACTTGGCAGCGTGGGTGAGATGGCTTCGACCTGCGGCGTGTACGCCGGCTGCTCCTGCAACAAGTCACACATACACATTATCGGTTCAGGCAAAACTTTGTCGAAAGAGTCACGGCCGGGCAGCCAGCAAGATCATAGAACATACCCTGGTGTCCACCCTCAAGGGCTCCAACACCTGCTTCGCGTCACCTAGCCTGATTTTCTTGAATGGAGGCCCGGCGTCCATAGGCTGTTGAGGCTTGCTCGGCGCCGGCGCCTGGACAGACACAGGAGTGGGGGCCGAAGACACGACGGTGTTCATACCGTGTGGAGGCAGGAACACCTGGTACTGAGGCTGGTCGCCCCTGCAAGAACAACAAGTAGGACGTCAGACACGATGAACCACAAACGTGCGGGTGGAGAATATACAACACCCAGTCCGAAACCCAACTGATGAATGATCAAACAGGGTGGCCACGCAATCGGAGCTATCAAATTCCTTGACTTTTCCCTGACTTTTTAAGTAAATTCCCTGACTTTGAAAGGTATTTTAAGTGGAACTTTTTGGCTCCCCAAAAATTGAAAATGCCACCGAAAGTTTGAAAATAACAATTTCGGGCAAGATTCAGTCATTTTCCCTGACCAACGTTCAATTTCCTTGACTTTTCCCTGACCAATATTTTTTTCCCTGACTTTTCCCTGACTTCCAGGTTGCGTGGCCACCCTGTCAAATGATCAAACACTATGATGGGGACACCACGGCTGAAACAGCCAAAAATCTCACGTGACACTGGCAGCGTCCCGCTAGATTTCTGGTCGTTCCCTTTGTGGTGCCCGGCGGGACGTGTAGTCGGTATATACTCACAAGACCCTGGCGCGCGGGTCGGCGGCCGCGGAGCCGACGAGCGGCTGCCTCAGTGGCAGAGTGACCACCGTGCCGTGGGGGGTGCGCACGACCGTGCCCTCCGGAGCCCGCCCCAGGTCCACGGTCTGCGGCTGGCCAGCGATGAGCAAGCCGGGCCCAGAGCCCGGGGGCCTGCTCTCCCCCTCCCCTCGCTCCCCGGGGCCGTCCTGAACGCCGTGCTGCACGCCGTGCTGCACGCCGTGCTGGCCAGCAAGCTGGCCGCCATGCTGAGCACCATGCTGACCACCATGCTGGCCGCCATGCTGACCACCGTGCTGGGGTCCATGCTGACCACCGTGTTGTCCAGCGTGCTGGGCACCGTGCTGGGCGTGCTGGTTGCCGTGCTGGTTGCCATGCTGAATGCTGTGCTGGCCACCGTGCTGGACGCCGTGCTGAACGCTGTGTTGGCCTCCGTGCTGGACGCCGTGCTGGCCACCATGCTGCATGCCATGCTGGCCACCGTGCTGGACGCCGGGCGCTCCGCCAGGGGGCACAGGCTGTGAACAGAGAGCGGGACAGTCAGCGACAGGACGGATGGCGCGACTCTTCAACAAGGAAAGCAGCTCACAACTCACCAGTCTATACGTGGGCTCCCGGAAGGACATGGGCGTGTTGTTGTAGGGGGTGAGGTACCGCAGTGCTTCTCTAGGGTTGGGTCCCGCGGGGGCGGCACCCTGGGGCCCGGGGTGGGGCCCGGGGGGAGGGTCCCGCACCGACATCCCCAGGTGGTAGGTGTTGGGCTGGGGGCCATGGCCGGGGCCCGGGGCGCTGGTCCGCACCTGGTAGCTGGCAGGGCCCCCAGGGCCTCCGGAGGTCGGGGGAGGCACGGAGGTGGGCACGGCGGCCGAGGTAGAGTGCGGGGGCAAGGGCTGGGGGTTGGACAGTGGGATCTGTCGCTGGGCTTTGAACGACAACCCCTCAGTTGGCTGGGAAGGCCTGCAACAACAGAAACGACATGGTTAAGTACAATCCAGATGAATGGCAAATCAGACGGGTACAAAACGAACTAAAGTGGGGGGAATGTCAAGTTGGTTGCCACAGCTGAGTAGCTGAGTGATATAGGTCTCGGTATGCGGCAGTGACGCGGCAGCCCCCCCCCCTCAACACACACGCACACACACACACAACAGAAGGCTCGTGCAGGGCACGTGCTGGGTAGTGCGGGTCAGGTCGCCGAGGGTCACAGGTCGACCGGCACGCCAAGCCCACAGGCCCTGAAACACAGACAGCCCCGCAGAGTGGCGACCTGTGTCGCTGACAGGACACCTAACTGAATCATGCATCGCGTCCGTCAGACGGACCCGGATGGCGGCACACCACCCCCCTTGCCTCTCCAGCCCCTCCCCGCTCTTCCGTACAGAGGAGGGAAGGGGTGGCGGTGGCCGCGCCCACCCTGTAGCTACCCACGACATGTACCCCTTCCTGGCTGAAGCGAGCCCCACTCGCTAACAGCACCCAAGAGAGAGGGCGGGGCACAATTTAAATACGGCCCCCGGAGGACTCGGAGCGGGTGGTGTAAAAACAGCCCCCTCACGAAGGTGACGGGGACGGGGGACGGCGCAACTCCACCCCCCTGCGCTGCGCCCCGGACGCCGTCGAGAGCGAGCCCAGGTTGACGAGCCCCCCCAGTTGGACACGGCATCCATCAGCGGGCTCGCGCACCACCCCGCCCCGCCAGGCGTTCGGACGGGACAGCATTTCAAAGTGAGATACGCCCGACATCCCGTCAAACACGGTTGGGCGGACTGTCGAAAGAGCACCCCCTCCCCCCCCCTCCCCCACGCGGACCGGCGCTGTGCACCGCACGGCGTCTGAGAGGCGGCGTCCGCGATGCGCCCGAGTGTGTCTTTGCGCTGGTCGGCGGGCGCGGCCGCCGGGGCGCGACCTGGGGCGAGGCGCCGCGAGCGCCGGCGAGGCGTGGGGACCCCAATGTCAGCAGTGACGCAACGCCCCGCCCCGCCCCGCCCCGCCGCGCCACGTCGAGTACTCCAAAAATTGTGTTGATGACTCAGTCCCCT